AGAGAGAGAGAGAGAGAGCGAAAGAGTGCAGCGTGTGAATGTGTAAAAGGAAGAGAGAGAGAGACAGAGAGCGAGAAAAGAGAGAAGAGGGCACACGTCGCTATCAGCATGACAAAGACGGCTCCCGTAGCAGCTATGGATTACTCTCACCTGTGGTTGCCAGGTATGTGTGCGTGCGCTTTGTGCGGGGTTGCCAGGTTGGTGTTTTTGGGGTGCAGCAATGCTAATGAAGCTGAAGGCTGAAGCAATGAATGAGCTTTGACTTTGACAAGCTGGACGAGTCACTATTAACAACTGCTCCAGGGGCATCATGGTGATGACCAGGCCGTCATAGTGATGACCGGGCTGCAAATTGGTCATCATTATGATGTCCTGATAATTGTAGTAAAGTGTGGAGAAAGGGTTGTCGGCAGTAAGTGTGGTTTTGCTTGTACAGGCTCTATATAGCATTGGAATAAATACAAATAAATATGAATACAGTAACATAACAAGAATTTCTTGTTTTTTTTAAAAAGCAGTTGAGATCTTGTGAGCTGGTTAGAAGAGCCCAGGTTTGGCTCTAGCTTTCATCTCGATATCTCCAGCCATCGCATGGATTTATTAAATTCTATCAGCAGTACAGCATCAGATTTAGTTTAATGAGGTGTTGCTTAATCAAACCAGGCCTTAGATGAGAACAGTTAGATGAGAACAGTTAATACTGGGCTTTGAAAAAGGTTAAACAAACACACTGATCACTGTTTATTGCCTTAACCCCTTAAAATCCCAGGCTTGTTACATACTAAGGCTTATTATTCAGTAACTACAGGGACTTCAATGCAAACTCCTTGAGCTATTCTTAGCTTATAAATGTGTGTAATAAAACTTTGGCCCTGGCCTTTTAAGGGTTAATGTTAGAGATGAGTAAATGTTAGAGATTAGCTGATAATGAGTAGAGAGTGTCTGAGCAAATACATGCTTACTGTCTAGATCCAAAAAGCGTTTTCAGTTTAAAAGTTTCAGTTTAAAATGTTTAAAATATTGCTAACACTTTATTTGAAGGCTTCCTACATAGGGACTACATAACACATGCATAAGCACATATTTATGAAGCAATATTTGAGTCTTTATGACCAGCTTATGCCAGAAACCGCAAGATGACATAAGACGTTCTATAAAGTTAATGACAATGGGACCTTAAACTAAAGTGATGGACTTTTGCTCTATTTATAACACTGTTATGAAGCATCATTTTCGTAGTTCTACTTGAGTTAAAGTACAAAACCCTTTTGTCAATACAATGTCGTTCTCTTCAGCTTGTGGTATCTTGCGATTACTGGCATAAGCTGTTCATAAAGACTCAAATATTGCTTTATAAATATGTTATTGAATGCTTATGCATGTGTTATGATGTCTTAATGTAAGTAGTCTTTAAATAAAGTGTTACCAAAACATCAGTATGTTTAGATTAGGCTTGGGATTAGGTTTAGGTTAAGGCCTGTGATCTCTACAAATAGAGGATGGGCTTAGTGGTGGCTTAGTGGCATAACTAGGGTCTAATGGGCCCTGATGCAAAAAAATATATGGATCCCCCTTATAAAAAATCAGAATAAACAAAAATGCCAGTGTAATTAACTTGTTTACTTGCTGTAGTGATGTCTCAAAGAAGGAAGGCTCTCGATGAATGCAGCTTTACTCACTGGTAGTAGTGGGTGTTGATGGAAGCTGACTGGTGTGGTATGTTGTTAAGAAATTGGATCTTCCTATGAGTCGTTGGTGTACAGTGTCTATTTGTATTAGTATCTATATGAGGGAGCCAATAAGGATTTTAGGGGAGCCCCCCTGCCTCCCCCCCCCAGTAGTCACACAACTGCCCATATCCTAGTAAAAGTACTGTTACTTAAATGAAATAATACATAAGTAAAAGTACATTTCTAATAAAACAAATTGTGTAGAAGTACAAAAGTATCAGGTCAAAAAATCTGCTTAGAAGTTACTGAGAGACTTTTGGAACTGCAGTGGAGCTTCTAAGTACGTTCAGCGTCTATCAGGAACTGAAGTTAGGCTCCGTTCTTTTATTTTTGATGCTCTTTTGGGCCTAAAATGTAACACTAAACCTCAAATGTCGGAAGTGTGACCAATCACAAAGCAGGACAGATGCTGTCACCGGTTTAACCGAATGGAATTAAACATAAAAAAGGAATTTGTAACTAAATATTGATGATAAAAATGGTAAAATTGTCTTTCATCAAAGTTTTAACTTGAGTACATGGAACTCTGATCAAGGCTTGGGTCCTAGCGAGGCTCAGGGTTCCACTAACGGTGAGATTGTTATTACTATTATTACGGTCATTAAGAAAATGAGGTCTGAGGTCAGATTTAGGCTCACATTTAGGACTAAAGAGTATTGCTAAGTATTGGTAACACAGGTCTGTGTGTGGAATATGATTTAGTGGTAAAATAATACGCAAAATTCAGAACTTTTTACAATTTTTTCCAACATAGCCATCATAAGGAGAGCCTGAAAATGTGCCCATTTTAACAAGTTTCCACTTTCAGTTTATTAGAGCACTCAACATGATAAAAGTACCAATGTCACACTCTGGCCAGAAGGTAATGTGTTAACCCCAAGCTAATACACTAGCCCCAAGCTAACATGCTAGTCATGATACAAAGATACAATACGATAAAATGTAATATGTTGTATTGTTACATAAGTAGTATGATTATAAAGCAACTCAGAGCACATTTCAGTGCTTTACTGGCTTCATTAGAGAAAGATGGGTATAGAGTTTGTTTTGTGTTAATTATTGGGCAGTAAATTCATATAAATATTCCAGATTTTTTATATATATATTAATATATATATATATATATATATGGATATAGATATATACATACACACATATGTGTGTGTAACGTGTATATATGTATAAATGTATATATATATATATATATATATATGTGTGTGTGTGTAGGTATGTGTCCATGTGTGTATGTGTGATGAGCTTGGATGTGTGGAATGTAAATTTAGAAAAATGATTATCATCTGCAGAATTATCGCGATAAAATGTCAAATCAGTACCATGTGAGCTTTACAGAGCATTTTCCCTGACAGTAGTTTAATTACCATATAACTACCAACTGGGCTCACTTTTAATATTACTTAATGATCTATAATAGTAACTATATTCTGCACAAATGGCATGTAATATTGTTAACATCCAGTGGTTCTTAATGTTTGTATGGCCAGAAATGAAAATATTCCCAAGCTGGCGCTTTGGCTCTCTTCTTCTGGACAAGCTCATCCTTTTTTACCCTCTACTGTAAAGCTGTTGTTTCATTTGCATTTATTCCGACTTTCTTTGCTAGACTGAAATCAAAACTGAAAAACAATCTGCAAGAGGCGTTCAGAGTTTGTATGTGTGCACTTAGTTAGTGATGTTCTGTTAGTGATTGACATTGATTATACAAAAGGAGTGGATAAATATTGATGAATAATGATAATTACTGCAATATTCAGTCATATCTAGTATCCAAGGCTACTGGAGATACTGTGTAAATGCTGAGCAGTGTATAATGTATACTGTACATAACTGTACATTCACTGTGATCTGTAATTTATACTGATGATATTGGGGCCCAACCGACATATCGTTTGACAGATGAAATCTCACAATATTAAGGTTGCATAGATGTACTGGTATCAGTAAAAGGCCTGCTGATAAGGCACCACTTATCCCTGTTTAAATGTGACATCAGAAAACCACATTCAGGAGTGTGATGATGAGGGCTGCCGATAACTGGCTTCGTAAAGTGTTAGTGTTATTTATATTTATATTACTGCAGATTTTGAATTTTTGCTGCTTAGAAAAGAAATCTGGCTATTAAAAACTGATAATCACACTTGGCAGTTCAGTCATTAGTCCAGAAAGCAACCAAAGCTGTTAGAATCTGTTTAATTAAGCTGTTGTATTTGATAAAATGACAGTGATTTCATATCAGTTGGGTCCTGTGTGATATAAGTGCTACTACTCCATGATACATAAAGTGAGACGCTAAAAACATCATTCATACGTTTTATGTTTATTTTATATTAAAGTCATTTCGGGTAAGAGTTGGACAGAAATACAAATCAAAGCATAGTCAATAACACAGAAACATTATGTAACTTGTGATAACAATGCTCAAAAAAATACGAACAAACCAGGAGGTCATTCCTGTGAAGATGAACCGAAACATGGTTAAATGAAAGCAGAAACCGAAAATAAAGAAGAGATAAAGCAGCAACTAGACTGATGCAACGAGAGAGCCAGTGGGATAAATTGAGTGGCCCCAAAAAGTATTTGTGCCGTACTTAAAGATGTTCTAATTTCACTGTGTTAGTAAACACACCATTGTAAGACCTCCGTTTGGTAATCACTTGAGCAGTTTCATTGCAGACCTCTACAGGTTTACATCCAGAATGCATGATTCATGATGAACACAAGCTCAGTGAAACCACCGTACGGAAAAGTGCCGCCTCTGTGCTTTGCAGTAGTCTTAGTGCAGTCAGGTTGGAGTTCATCTCCACCATCGATTGGATGTTGTGCTAAAAGCTTTTTTTTCTGAAGCAAACATTTTTTGGAGGTTTTAAACATTTTATGAAGTAACATAAAGAAGTTCATTAAAGTTTACGAATAGTTAAATGGTCAGGGTCACTGTATATCTATATGAGAAATGGCACTGATCCAGTAGCCACGTTGATTTTGGGTTGCTAAATCAGATATTGGAGCAAAAAACTTTAAAAATCTAATATTAAATCAAGCCTGAAATATCCCATAATTGTTTGCCGCCTATAAATATTTTACTATGTTTACAGTTTCTATTTTGATTAATTTAATTTTGCACACATATGCACTATAAGTGATTTTTATCTGTTTTTTGTCTGTTTGTCAAACTGTCAATCACTGTTGCCCTCACAGCAAGAAGGGAATGGGTTCGATTCCCTGCTCGGGTAACCAGGGGACCAGGGGGTTTGTCTGTTCTTCCTGTGTCTCCGTGGTTGTCTTGCCATAGTCCAAAGTTTAGGTAATGTGTGTGTGCCTAACTGAACAAAACAACTAGTACCCTTCTTAAAGTGTCCTTTTGAGCAGTGTAGATGAACGACTTACTCTGCAGAAGTCAGAGACCACCCTTCACCCT